CTAACAGTAAACAACAATCCCCGTTCAACTTTCAAATCTAATCCTCTCCCAAACCTCCGCCGGAAGAAACTTCGTTGAATCTTCCCCATCGATCCGTTCAAGCGAAATCGCCGTCCGACTCGTCAATACCGATTAATATTCAATTTGTTTCACCAGCGTGGCCCATGATCCACGGTAAAGACGACCGTAGGTCCCGGGTCGAATCAACTGGACCCGGCGGTATGCGAGCCTCGAATTCCGAACGCGGCGGAGACAATGTTCACCGGAAAGTAATCACGCGTGCGGCCGCGTACAGAGGACCGATCGATTATCCTGTATCCGCGGCGGTACCGTACGCGCGCGCTGCCGCCCGCGCACCGCAACTACGTGACAAATATTATCGCGATCGACCGACCAGCTGCGTTTGATGTGGACGCGTTTATGAAATGCCGACACGCCGATAATCATGCGCGACCAGCGCCCAAGGCTAAATCCGATTTGCAATATTAAGCGGCCCCCCATCCCGTCACCCCGTCCCTCAGCAGCCAGCCCGCCGCCTCCTCCAACCCTTCCTCCAACCCCTGTGTCCGCAGCCGCCATGCTCGCTCTCGCGCCACCCATGTAAACCAGTCGACATTTTTCGGCCCTCTCCTAATTAGTCCGGTCGATTAAGCCGTTCCAGGGGGGTCATGGTCGACGCGCGGACTCGACGTACTTCCTTTTCCTCGGTCTTTGGGAAAGATTGATGCGTTAACCCGTACGGTCGACAATTTTCTGGTAACTCTGTAGACAAGGACGTGTTAAACTTCTGACGTTTGTTTTAATGGAAAACCGAATTATGCATCGAAGTGTTAAATAGAAGAGGAAAATCGTATGTTAGTCTTTTGTTAGTTGAATAATCAAATTCATTTGGGGCTTTCGATTTCAGATGTCGAAGCTAGAAGTCGCCATTACAGCGACATTCGACTGGGAAGAGTTGAGAGGTTGCGCCTTGAACGTTCGAAGGGGTTTTATGAGTTGTTAAGGGTTGAATGTTCGTTGAGAGTAGTGGAATTTTTAATGGAATTTGGTGGGAAGTTTTTCGACGAGTTTGAGAAATTTTAGGAAGGTATTTTGGGATTTGATGCGAGGAAATGGAAGGGCAGTTTTGATGAGTAATGAATAAGTCACCGCTTTCGCGGTGATGATAGTTCTGAATTGGCGGATGCAAGAACCGTTTATGTTTAAAGTCTTATTATTCTGGGAAATGGTATTTTTAGGAATACTTAAACTGTATAGACTGAGAATAATTCAACCTTTGATTATCACAAACATCAGTGAAACCAATCGACTCTATTAACACATTAGAATCAATTAAAATGACAACCTTAGACACCTCTACGAGAAGAATTAATACACACCAATTCCATGATAACCCATGATAAGCTACGCTTCACCGATAACAATACATTCCCCAATCATGTACAAAACCGACAGCCATTAATATCAGGTAATATCATAAATGACTCACCGCCCCAAGCATCCATAAAGCAACTCCAAGACAAATGCCAGAAAGATTCATCATTGTATAAGTCCGCGTCTTATCGGGCCTACAATAGATCCGGGGCCCAGAGTTCTCCAGTCGGTCGCGGCTCCGGCCGTTCACCGATTCGAATACCGCGAAGGTGTTTGACGGGAAAGACAAGGAAAAGGTCGTAAACGCGGGCAAAGTCATAAACGTTATCTGCTATCGGCGGCGGCGCGTTGCACCGTCACGCGGTTCGAGCGTTCTCGAATCAGGGGACCGTGCCTCGGCGAGGTGGGACGCAGTTACCAGAATAGACGTTCGTTCCCCTTGGAGAAAGGGGCGGCAGGGAGACGGGGGAACGGAGAGCGATCGAGCGAGGCGGTTCTATCGGTGCTCCAATTTGCACGGGGCAGAGACACGCTTCCCGCGCTGCTCGACTTTTTTTTTCGTAACTGGAGCGAAAGATCAGCGCCCCGAGCGCGCAGACTTGTCCCGTAAATGTTGTTTCAGGGGAATAAGACCCGACTAATCAGACGCGCGTGTTTGGGAAGTCCTGCCAAGCAATTAGGTTCACGGTCGAGCGACTCCGAACAGGCGGGCCGCTCGGGTTTCGTCGGTGTGCCGGTGCGAAACAACATTGACACGATCATCGAGAAAAATGTCCGACGGAATGCGGCTGATTGAGATTCAGGTTCGATTTGGTTAGATGTGTGATCGGTTGTGTCGCGAAGAACGAGTGAGTTTGCGAGTTTTGTATTTTATTTAACACTAGGTTTACGGACATTTGTTGCACGGTTTGTTCCGTTGTTCCTAGAATAATTGGTATTCGTTACTTTGGATCTTGGAAATTAGGCGCTTAGGAATAGGCTGCTAGGATAGGTACTCGCGTAATTGCATCGACGAAAACCGAGTTAAGCGTTTACCGAGTAATTTTTATAAAATTCAATATGCGTCGAACTGACGCGTTCCGTAAAGCTAGTGTTAAGAATGTTATTGCCGGTGCTGATAGTAGTTCATTTGTGTATATTTGCGATTAGTGGTTGCGATTAGTTGTGCATAATTATTTGAAATTAGTCGAACAGAAGTTGTAAGATTTTTGTGAGGTTTTTGTATTTGTGTTGCCTGAGTACTTTTACTTTGTCATCGTTTGTGTGGAGAGTAGATTGTTGACGAGTGTTTAAAGCTTGCCCGTCTGTGAACAAACGACATTTGCTAGGTGAAATAAGGATAATTAAACGTAATTCTCGTTACTTCAAAGTTAATTAAGGAAAGAGTGGATATTATTTTTCAAATTTCTAAGTATTATGACTGTGAAGGTGTTGCAAAGAATAAGCAAGCCATTTTTTGTATTAAGAGATACTGATCTTTCTTTAGTAAGTTGCTGAGCTTTCTGTTTTGTTTAACGTGACATTTCTGTGAGATAAGAAAATCTTCATAATTCATCTTTATACATGTTCCAATTGTATAATAGTTCTTCATGCGTTACAGTTATCATTGAAATAGACCGTTCATAGCATTTAAGGATCCCTTAGTCTGTATACTGTATGATTATTCATTCACGAACGTAACAAAGACATGTCTCCAGGCGAATAAAATGTACGTATGAAAGCTTCTACTCCAGTGAACATGAGTAACAGTATAATTCTACCAATATCAATATTATGACAAAGTAAAACGAAAGAACGATTAATTGAACAAAGAAAAGAACTCGTCCGCGTCGGTTGACAGGTGAAACACGTGTATACCAACTTCTATAGAACCAATTCCCTTTGGGGGGACAGGCTGCCTCTGTCTTCGAATAACAGATATTCGATCGTCATACTTGAACGGCACTGACGAAATCCGACGTAAACCGATCTTGATATGTCAGTGAACAAGATCAGCATGAGGTATCATTTTTCAACTCACCAACGTCTTTATTATGACATCTTAAGCCCAACAAAGTGTCAATGATTTTCTATAGGACCTCGTGTTCTCTTACACCTGTAGCAATTCTCGCTTACTAAACAAATAATACTAGACGTATTATTTGTTCTCACTAATAAACAAACTATCTTCAAAAAATAAAATAATTGCAGTTTCCAAGCAACTTTTATTCTACAGCTGACAAACAACAAAATACAATAAAACATGATCTTCAACCTATCATTCCCTCAACAAATTAAGGTACATCAAAAGCTACAACATAATCTATACCTAAACTATACATAATCAACTACATACACGTGTATAATATGCCACATAAAAGCAAATCTGTGTCTGGTCCACTGAACAACCAAAAGAAGACACAATCACGGCTCTATCTTAAGCTATCAACCTCATGCAACCGACGCCTATACCATCACCAACAATCATCCCACGGAAAGATAAACCTCACAGGTGACAACCGTCCAAGGGATCACAGGGCACGGGTAACCCAGTGGTCCCAAACGAGGTTGTAGCATAGCGCGTAATGCAGAAGCGGCGCGGCGCCACGCGTGGATGTCCTCGAACCCGGTGACCGTACGTCCGCCGCTGGATACTGTCTCCGTCGCGCTCGCTCGCGGGTGCACAGCGGTGTCTCCCCCGGTCTCACCCGCGCCTCCCGGCGCCCGGCCGCCCGTCCCGTCCCGTCCCAGTCCTCGGTCTGTCTCTGTCGGTTCCCGTCGGCGGGCGCTCGCCCGTGTTCCCGTTCTCTCTCTCTATCCGCCCCCGCCCCCGTGGCATGCCAACCAACGAGCCGGGGCCGCTTTCGCTTTGTGCGCGCCGGGGCGGCGGTACATCAAAG